AAGCCAAAACCCTAAAAAACCTAAAGAACCTACCCGCCCCCCTCCATCTTCTTCTTCTCCAAAACTAAACCACCCCAAGCTCCCCTCCCTAGCAGCCATGGCTGCCTCCCCATCGATAACACACATACACACACATCGACAACACACACACACACATCGACAACACACACACACATACACAACAAAACACACACGCACACACGCAGCAGCCCGTCCATGGCTGCTGCCTCTTCTTCTTCCTTGACCTCACCATCTTGAACGTCCACCATTGACGCAGCCAACAACTGCTTCATCTTCTCTGTTGTTGCTGCGTTTCCACTGCTTCATCGAAGACGAACAGCTCGTCGACCTTCACCTTCTCCGTCGCAGCTGCTGCCCGCATCCGCCATTGACGCAGTCGTTGCTGCCCGCGCTCTATTGTTGTTGCTTCTCTTCCTCCTTTCTTCTCCTCCGAGCTGCTGCTTCTCCGCCATGGACGAGCACGCACAGCTGCTCACGTTTCTGCTTCGGCTTGCCACGTCGCTTTCACGCTTCTATTTTCTTGCTGCTTCTTCTATGGCCAAAGGATAGACACTATATTTTGTAATATATAGTTACAGTGTGTAATCTTAAACTGTTCACATACTTCTCTCATCAAGTTGTTGTTAAGATTAGCACCATTGTCCGTGATTATTATTTTTGGGATCCCAAATCTACAAATGATATGGGAATGGACGAAATCCACCACTGCCTTCTTGGTTACAGACTTGAAAGTTTTGGCTTCAACCCACTTAGTGAAATAATCGATGGCTACCAGAATGAACCTGTGACCATTCGAAGCTGCCGGCTCGATAGGCCCAATGACATCCATGCCCCATGCCACAAATGGCCATGGTGCTGACATTTAGTGCAATTCCGTTGGTGGAGAATGAATCAGATCTCCAATCTTCCTGTGGGCATAGGCTTCTGGAAAATATACTTTAATGGATCCAGGCGTGAAATAANCACAGGTGAATTGGATAAATAACCTTTGATCTGGTCAAATGCCTCTTGACATTCTGCCGTCCATTCTATCGCGGCATCTTTCCTCAGCAATCGAAAGATGGGTTCACAAATCATTGTGAGCTGAGCAATGAATCTGCTGATATAGTTCAACCTTCCCAACAGACTCATTACTTCTGTTTTGTTCCTCGGTAGCGGCAATTCCTGGATGGATTTGATCTTTGACGGATTCAACTCAATGCCAAATATCGACCAAGCTCCGAGGTGGTCGGACAACACAGAATGGGAAGGGAAGAAAGGAAAATCCATCTTCGGCAAAATAACCTCCAGAAATTTTTGAGATACAAAATGGGGAAGGGATAAATGGAAAAACCATCCCCAACAGAATGTTATCCCCAGCAAATAACATCATCCCCAATAAGTTTTGAGAACGCCGAACAGGAATAAGGGAAAGGGAACAATCATCCCCATCAGGAGTGACATGACCACTCGCCATATTTCAAAAAAAAAAACTAACTAAATTTTCTTTGATTTGAACAGGAAAATAAAGTGTTGATGATGGCCTAAAGATACGCCATAAGAAAGATCGCCAGAATTGGGGCAGAAAATTTTCTGCCACAAGTGAAAATTTTCTCGGAGAATCGACGAAACAAATTCAAATTATTCTTTACCAATTAGGCGCCCACCAGTATAATGCGGGAATACATTTTATGTTTTCATTTCATGTTCTAGGTCGCCCACCAGTATAATACGGGTATGAATTTTATGTTTTCATTTCATGTTCTAGGTCGCCCACCAGTATAATGCGGGTATGCATTTATGTTTTCATTTCATGTTCTAGGTCGCCCACCAGTATAATGCGGGTATGCATTTCTCTTTTCATTTCATGTTCTAGGTCGCCCACCAGTATAATGTGGGTATTATCCGGATTTCTGGTTCGCGGACTGTAATACAGAGTCATTCTCTTCCTCGATTTGGGATTAAAATTGGTGACTTGGGACACCCTAAATCTCCCAAGTGGCGACTCTGAAATAAATAAATAAATCCCGTTTCGATCGTCCTTTAATTGGAAAAAACTCCCTTCACCCCTCGCGGGGCGGTAAAAAGGAGGTGTGACACTAATTTTAAAGGTCATGACCATACCCATTCGGGGACTGTTATCCTAGACAAGCCTAGATAACTCGGGAAATCAATCTCACTATGCTACGCCCAAATTAAAAGGCTACAGCTGCACTAACACGACTCCGAGATGTTCGAGAACCGTACCAAAAATACCCTCAGCAAACTATGATCTGAGTTACTTACTTTGGGATAAGGTTCCTGGTAACCCCGAACCTCCAAGATGGCTCAAAAGCAAAAATAATGTAAATGCAAGATTGTTCGAACTTACACAACCTAAGCTATTTTATTCCAACCTTTGTGAATACAAGTAATAAAGCAAAGGAATACTCGAAAGCCCAAAAGGGAAAAGAAAGCCTTGTATATATTTACACAATAGTCTTTTACAAAAGCCAGAATTGGCTTTATTCGAAAACATTTTCAACGACCGAAATGGCCCCAAAAAGATGCAAAAGAAAAGCAAAAAAATACGAATACCTAAGTGGCATGGTCTTCATCGGAGTCAACATCCCCGTCCTCGGGATCTTCCCCACATTTAGACTCACTTAAACTATCTGAGTCTTCCTCGGGAAAGGCCGGCTTTCGAGCCCTGGCTTCCTCTGCGTTGGCGTTCTCGAGTTCAGCCAGTATATAAAAGCCCTGAGCGTGGACTCCCTCAAGGGTTTCCCTTTGAGCTTGCCACTTTGCATGATCCACCATGCTATTGGATTGTGCCTGGATGGCCTCGACGTCGACCTTATATTGGGCTACTTTAGCATCGGCCTTGGTGTTGGCCATGACCACCTCAGATTTGGCCGCTTCGAGCTCATTGGCCAAGTTTGCTAATTGGGGCTGAAGCTCCTCAATTTTCATAACCTGCACCGAGGCTTTCTCCCTTGCAGCTCGGAGGTGGATCTCCGCCGACTCCAGTTGTGTTTAGGCAACTTCCCTTTTCGAGGCTAAGTGCCCATATTTTTCTTGAACTCCCCAGCCTTAGCTCGAATAGTATCTACTTGTTTTTGAAGCTCCCCAATTTGTTCAATCCTCTGTCGAACCTGCAAAATCAGATTGTTAGTCATTATATCCAGTTTGTCCTCACTATTGTAAAGCATTCGGAATACCTGCTCGGTTATCTCAGCATGTTCATCCCGAGCCATTACTAAATCGGCCTGAAGCTTCTCGCTGAGAAGATTGTAGGTATCACTTTTATCAGTAAGGTCCCGAACCTCGGCCTCGTGATGAGTTAATTCCTCTCGATATTAGAGGAAAGCCTCGTGATGCATCACCAAAGCCTACAAGCATAAGGGAAGATGTTACTTACAACTTTAAAAGTTAGAATATATGAAAAGAATAGTCACACAAACTTACCCAATTTAATGCTTGTTGAGATTCATTGAAAAGGTAGGGGGTTTCCACCTCGTCTATTATTGCCTGATCTTCTTTGGTCACCAAGCATCGAAGGTAACTAGCAACCCCTATAGAGGCAGAGAAAACTCGGGAGTCCTCCGAGATAGAAAAATCTATTGAGCGTCTTCGTTCAGGATTAACACTTGGGGCCAAGAATCAAGCCACCAGTTTTGGGCTCGATGAAAACCCGGGAGCAATCAACGACGGCTCTTTCCTTGGCACCAGCATGTCACTGAGCCTGGTGACGTCTTCCAAAATAGCATCCTTAACCCCATCCAAGAATCCGTGGATATTAGTCACCCCCTGAGGACTCAACATACTGTCCTCACGAAGCATGGTGTCCGAAATCTGAGGAGATCCGCTGATGTTGATCGCTCCCAGTTTATTTATCGAGGCATTTTTCGCAGCTCAAGAACTGTCGCCCCAGATCTCTCTATAGACTCCCCTTGCTGGGGCAGAATAGGCTTGGCCTTTTCTGGCTCGGAAGTTTCAGCCAGAGCTCTCTCACCAACCTCCTCATGTCGGAATATTTCAATGTCAGCACCCGCCGGTTCGAGAACTTCTTGTGCGATGACGCCAGCTCGCACACAGGCCACTAGTTTGGATTTATTCTCCTCTTCTTCTTCTTCGGACTCATCCCTTAATCATAGGATTGAGTCCGAGGACATGGCATCGGTGTCTCCCCTTGTCTTGCGTGGCCTCTTCGTCATTTTCTTATTTTCCGAGCCCGGGGAACTCAGAGCCCCTTTCCTTTTCTTCTCTTTAGCCTACTTCGGAGCAGGTGGGTGGGGAAGGACTTCTTCGCCACTAGATGGGAGACTCATTTCAACATCCTTCCCAAGGCCTACAAAGGAAAGAAGATGATTAAGCTCGAAAAAAATCTCGAACGATAACCGTTTTAAGAAAGAAAATTACCATGATTGCGGGTCTCCCATCGACCTTACGATAACTCCATCCAAGCACACTCAGAGTATGGTCTCTGCGACACCAGGCCCTCAACCCATTGCTTGAGTTTGGGAACTACTTCCGGCACCTGGGCCATATCTGCAACACCAAAAACATAGATTAGGAAAGAAGATCAGAAGTAAAACGACAAAATTGAACATTTAAGGCAAAGTACTACTCACGATTCCTATTCCATTTCTCAGGAAATGACATGTCTTCAGCAGGGATCAGGTCCGAAGTCCTTATTCAGACAAATCGGCCCATCCAACCTCGGTCACGAGCCTCGTCTATGCTCGAGAACGGGGCCTTGCTGGCGCGGCGAGCAAGCTTGATCAGCCCTCCTCGATAAAGTCAGGGACTATAAAAATGCATAAGGTGATCAAGGGTGAAAGGACATCTCTCGATTTTGCTTACGAAGAATTGGAGGAGAATCACTATTCTCCAAAAGGAAGGATGGATCTGTCCGAGGGTCACGTCGTACCTCTTACAGAAGGCGACAATGACAGGGTCTAAGGGACCCAACATAAAGGGGTAAGTGTAAACACTTAGGAAAATCCTCCACATGGGTAGTGATCGATTCCTCAGGCAAAGGTAGTACCATATGTTTATCCACCCAGTTGCAATCCTCTTTAACCTTGCAAGGAGGTCATCGGTAATTGTACATATATACCTCACGACCGATTCACATCGACTCGGTACTGAGGAGGACTTTTCTATCTTAAAATCAACAACGGTAGGACACCCTCCCCGAACAAAATCCTCAAGGGGATACTCCGTCGCAGCCCCGTCGCTGGCGGGCCGTAATGAAGAGGCAGCCTCTTTTTGCGGTATAGTCTTAGAACTTTTCTCCATTGTAGAAGAAAATGGAATTAGGATGGTATGCTGTTTGCTAAAAGTTCAAGAAATTTGGGTGAGCAAAGAGATTTTTGAAGAGAAGCAAGAATGGAAGAAGCTTTGAACATGAAGTCTGAAATAGAGGGAGGTTACAGTACTTATAGATTGTTGGTGACGATTCAGAACTCATGGTGGCCGACCAGAAACTGACAAGCATTTAATACCTTGGTAACTAGATCGACGGGACGTTTCGGTTTGTTGCTTACATCATGATCTAGTGTATCGATGACGTTCGTCGCTTACCTCATGGTTCATCTAGATGGAGCTCGGAAATTCATATCATTTCTCGTTATCTTCTCTCCGAGAAATGAGGGGACTATCTGTATACGATCAAAATCGAGGTTGCCCTTTTGTATGACTAATAGAGGTCGGAACGTGATAGGGCAAGGTTCAACCTCGTATTATATCGAACCATGGTGCAGAATTAGATTGTCGAGCTCGTGACCCAGAGATCGATAAGGATAGAGATCGACCAAGATCAAAGTCGAGCAAGATAGAGATCGAGCGAGATCGAGGGAAGCTTACCGATCCAAATAACGGAAAGTCGAAATATCTGCAATCGGGCGAGGATCACGGCGAAAATCCTGGCATGTATCAAAAAGAGGCCGATTAATTAGCTAATCATGGGATTTCTTACATTATATAGAATTGTATCAAAAGTAGGACTCCCTACTATATAAAGAGGGTCTTATCATTTGTAAAACCATCATATTCACGCAATACAAAGCAATATACTGTCATTTTCTAGCTTTTATTATCTTGTTATTCTGTTCATAAGCTAGTTGAAATATCTTTGGTTCAAGGGCGACTGAACTCGAGGGCCAAGGCTATTCAATTCGTGTGGTTTGAATTTACTCTTTTATCGTCAATTTCAGTACTTATTTATTCTTCTTAATCTGTACTAAGTTATATCACATGTCCTTAAAACCGCGTATAAATTCAATTGTCATCTTCGATTTAACTTCATATTTTTAATCATACAAATATTTATGACTTATTTTAGAATAAATTTGAAATTTTCTTTTCTTAAATTTTGTATCCAATCAGATAAAATCACATGAAATAAAAAAGATGGAGTAATATGAGTAGTTTTGTGATGTACAGAATAAACTACAAATTATAGCTTCTCCGTGAGAGTAGAATTAAATAGTTAAACAATTTAGACAAAAATATCATTATATTAATATTTTGATTCAAAAGGAAAATCAATCTTTAAAGTTATTCCTTCCCCTTCTTTTACCATGGTTTTCCTTCACTATCTCACCAACTCTTTATACACGCAAATCTCAAATAGAAGATGACATATTTTAATTAAAAAATATTGAAAAATTAATTCAAATCTCTAAATAGTAAATAACTAAGATCATTTTTAAAATAATAGTATTAATTGTAAGATAATCTATACATGGCTTTTTTCGTAATGTAACGCTTAGAAACACCTTTTGTAAAAAAATTAATCAAACACAAACTGCTTTTCTAATATTAAAAATCAAACCGCTCAAAAAACTCATGTTTATTGTAATGAATTTTAATACAATTTATTCATCTTCTAGTTGACTCAACTCACTAGGATTCATCTTTACATTCACTTCTTCAAAACAAACACACCTATAACTCTAATGGATCAACAACACTGCCAAGGAGGAATACCTCCAAAGCCACCAGATATAAATTTCTCACAATTAATAAATACTATATCTGTCTCTTTTAAAGACAAACTACTAGCCAATGAGCTGAAGGAACCCTTCTCAATAGTATCGCCACCGACATACCTATCTCCAATGGCAATGAACACAAACGAGGAAGAAAATGAAAAGGCTTATGAAAATCCTGAAAGGGAATTTAAAGTTCTCATAAGTGGGGAAGATAAATTACGTATTTACTACCCCTGAAGATTCTCAGTTATAATAAAACTACTAGGTAAAAAAATCTTCCACCAAGTTCTCAAGCGTAAACTAATAGATCTTTGAAAACCAACTGAAGCTTTCCCCCTAATTGATATTGGTAAATAATACTAAATAGTAAAATTCAACAAAGAGGAAAACTTGGAGAACGTATTACAAAAAGGGTCATGGTTTGTCTTTGGCCACTTCCTTTCAGTACAATGATGGGAAACAAATTTTGTTCCCGCTACTGCCAAACAAATTTTAACTGCAATTTGGATTCGCTTACCACATCTTCCCACAAAATTCTATGATGAAGAAATTCTGAAAAAAGTAGGGAACACAATAGGCAGACTACTCAAAGTGGATGATTGCACATCAGTGGCTTTAAGGGGTCGCTATACCAGGCTCTACGTAGAGCTACCTCTAGATAAACCAGTAAAATCCAATGTGTGGATAGGCATTCACAAACAATAGATCCTCTACGAAGGAGAAAATCTTCTCTGCAAAAACTATGGCTATCTAGGTCATACAGCTAGACAGTGCAATATCAAGACACAAGGTCCAGCAACCTCGTCATCTAAGAACAATGGCGAAAAGGAACAGAGTGGTCAGGAGCAAGAACATCTCCCCAAAGAGAAGGAAGAATGGAAGACAGTTACTTTCAACAAAAAAAGAAGACTTCTACTGCTACTAACAGAGGCACGGAATCAACTAAGGTTGCAGGTATCAATGTAAATATTTTTTATGCCAACACAGGTAAGTTCCTCACTTTCCAAATTTTTAATTACAATTCCCGCCCTAATCACAGTAAACCTACTGGAAATTCTATGATAAAAGAATCTCACTCCATCAGCAGCAACAATATCCAAATAAATAATCATTTTACTGCTCTAATGGAGCAGAACATGGTTTTGGGACAAACCACAAACCACCCATCGGAGAATGAATCAAAAAACAAACAAAGAACCAATACCAATCACATTATTGACACATCATTACGACACGTGTCACACAATACTACTAATGCTCCTAATAATAATTATAATATATGTACTAAATTAGCCACCTACCCAAATCAACCAATAAATCCTAATAATCTTGTGTTGCATTCCACTAATGACATTGCATACCTGTCTGAAAAACAGGCTACCCTCCTCCAAATGGACAATACCTTCAAACACGTAAACCAAGCCCAATCTCATTCCTTACTTGATAAAACCAGTACGCTACTCCTTCCAAACGCCATGCAAACCGAGCATACAATCATTGGCAAAGATCCTCTGCATTCTCAAGGATCTAATACAGTCTAAACACAGCTTATAAGTATTAATCCTCCAACAAACAATGCCAAGGCTTCCTTTTCCCAGCAGAAGGCGCTATCGCCTCATCCAAATCCTACGCCAACAAAGGCCTCTGAATATGAAAAATAAACCTCCCACCAACACTCCAACAACAAACACCCCCTCTATATTCATCCAACCTCCACTTCCAGAGAACCACCAACCTCTATCATGGGTGGAGTTGGGTCTAATGGGCTATGTCATATCCTTCAACATAATATTGAAAGGAAGGGAGACAATAATAGTGATACAAAACTCCCACTATCTAGCTCAGCTAATCTCGAAAGGGATCCAGATGGCAATGAACAACTTCATGAACCATGTATAGGTAAACAATATTCTTCACCCAATAGCCCTAAATATATCACCCAACATAACTCAAATGATGATGGGACAGTGGAGTCTTCCTCCACATTTTATCCCAGTACAAAATGCAAACCCACTGATAGACCTTCCATTCTTCACTCCGGGAGTGATGACCAACATCAATCCAGTTTTCACACCCTGGGATGCACATGCAAACTAAGGTCAAACTCCAAATGTTCATCATGCACCCTAGTTTCACCAACCAGGACCATCTCACCCTCAATCTCACTCAAACACGCCACAAAACATTCCTCACACAGAAATAATGGGGGAAGCAGTGGAACCCTACTCAATCCCAGAACCAATACTCAAGGATTCAAATCTCGATGAGGTAAATGTGTTCATCTTCAAGGAGATGCAAGAGCAGAGGCAGATTCTCAAATGTCCAATGGCTCTCTACAAGTGTACAATGGATATAAGGCTACCGGCAGATCCGACCATAAGGCAGCATGCAATGATATTGGTTCCTTTCTAGAGAAGGAATCCAATACATGCACCAAGAGCACTGGAGAATGGAGACCTTCACAACTGGAATATCATGATGAATAGACCTATCAATTTCATTATATGGAACATTAAAGGTGGAAACAACGATAACTTTAGGTTAAACTTTAGAGATATGGTTAATACTCATCATCCTTGCATGGTAACACTCTTGGAAACAAGAATGGACAACCATATGCCGCTTCTTAAACCTTTTGGGTTTTCTGACATGATTGAAATTCTGGCTCAGGGTCAATCGGGTGGTATGGTTATCTTATGGGATCACACTCTAGTTAATGTTCACAGTTTCATGCGTAGGAATCAAGAAATCAGCGCAACCATTGAGGTAATCCCCATACATGAATCTTGGTTATTTACTTCTATCTATGCTAGTACTAATATTAATAGTAAAGATCAATTATGGGGCAATCTCATTAATATGCATAATTCTTTCAATGGTCTGTGGTTAGTAAGGGAGATTTTAATGATGTCCTTAGCTCTAATAAAAAATTCGATGGAAATTACCGGGATAATTATCTTTGGAATTACATCAATAAATGTGGTCTCTTAGATCTAGGTTATAAGGGGTGCAGGTATACTTGGACCAACCGTAGGAAAAAAATAACCTAATCATGAAAAGACTAGACAAAATATTTGCTAATAGTGAATGGATTAATTAGTTCCCTAACGCTTCTGTATCCCATCTCCCCAAAATCCATTCTGATCATAATCCTCTCTTACTTGAAATAATCCCAAAATCTAACTTAGCCCTTCAAAAGCCTTTTAGACTTGAAATATTTTGGTGCAGGCACCCTGATTTAACAAATTAGTTACCAATTTATGGAGAGGTACAAATTACCAACAAGCTTCAAACTCCTTTCTGAATAATGTTAAGGATTGGAAAAACAAAATTTTTGGAGATATATTTAAGAAGAAAAATAGAATTTTGGCTAGACTTAGAGGAATTCAAAATTCCAAACACTTCCCTCGCAGTATCTTCCTCCAAAATCTTGAAAGAGAATTGCAATCTGAGTATAACAACTACCTGAAAATAGAAGATGATTATTGGAAACTGAGAGCTAGAATGTCTTGGATTCAAGATGGAGATGCCAACACTAAATTTTTCCATATCATGGCTACTAACAATAGAAGGAGAAATAAAATTACTCATTTCAAAAATGAGGCAGGTGTTTGGATTAATGAACCAACATAAATCCTAAATCACACTATCAATATTTCCTCAATGCTTTCACAACCTCCCACCAACACACCAACTGGCTTGGCATTGCCAATAGTTCGACTAACTTTAGCAAGGTGAACCTAAATTTCCTTGACAATGCTCTAATGCCCTATGAAATAATCAATGCCATATTTTCGTTCAAACCCTTCAAGGCTCCTGGGCCAGATGGAATTCACCCATTTTTTTTATCAAAAATATTGGAAAACAGTGTGACCTTCAGTTATACAATTTTGTCTACAAGTTTAATGCACCAACACTCTTTCATCGGGCTCTAACAATACTTATATCTGCCCAATTCCAAATATTGATAATGCTAATAACTTAAAAAAAATTCGGCATATTGGTCTATGCAATACGATCTACAAAATTATTACCAAAATAATTGCTAATAGACTGAAGCCATTCCTAAATGATCTGATCAATCCCTTTCAATCAAGCTTCATCAAAGGAAGAAAAACCAGTGACAATGCAATAATTGTCCAAGAAATCATGAACCAATTCAAGAAGAACAAAGGTAAAAAGTATAACATGATGCTTAAGCTCGATTTAGAAAAAGTCTTTGACCGTCTTGAATGGTCATTCATCTATCGTATGCTCAGATTCTTCAATTTTTCACCCTCTATATCCAAATTAATCATTCAATGCATAACTACTAGTAACATTGCCATTCTCATTAATGGATTAACCACATCCTTTTTTAGTCCTAGTAGAGGTATCAAGCAAGGATGCCCCTTATCCCCTTATATTTTTATCCTATGCATGAAAATATTTTCACGCTTAATTTCCCATCAAGTAGATATCCACAACTGGGATCCTATGCACCTTAGTTCAAATGATCCGGGTATTTCACATTTATTCTTTGCGGATGACCTTACCTTATGGGTAAGGTAAACAAGAAATCTTGTAGCTATATTAAAAGGAGCATGTCCATCTTCTGCTCCTTGTCAGGGCAAAACATCAACATACATAAATCTAAAATAATCTTCTCAAAAAACTGCCCCACAACTATCTCTAAAGAAGTTACTAAAGATTTTAATATGAGTGTTAGCAACACCTTTGGCAAATACCTAGGATTTCCAATTCTTCAAAATCATCCTAACCCTAGGGATTACCAATTTATTATTGACAATATGCAAAGGAAATTGTATTCCTGGAAAGTCAAATTTCTGAACATAGCGGGTCGTAACACCCTAGCAACATCAACTCTTAATGCTATCCCTAGGCATGTAATGCAATACACCCATTTTCCCACCAAAACCTTAAACCAAATTGACTGTATTCAACGTAACTTCATCTGGGGTTCTACTAAAGATGCCAATAAAGTTCACTATATCAATTGGAATACCATCACTAAAATTAAAGAAGAAGGAGGGCTAGACACAAAAGATGCTAATACAAAAAATTTGATAGCTCTCAGCAACTTAGCCTGGGGAATTATCACCACTCCCACAACCTTATGGTCCAAAGTTCTCATATTCAAATATGCAAGAAATAAAACCCCAATCTCCGCCTCCTTCATCTGGAAAAACATCCTAAAAGGGTGGTCAATCTGCACTAAGGGCATCACTTGGCAACCTTGCAAGAATCTTAATCAAAATCTTTGGCTATCTAATTGGATACCAAATCTCCAACTACTAAGAGAATGCATCAAGGGTCCGCTCAATAAACATGAATTATCCACTAAAGTAAAGAAAATCTTTTTAAATGGCCGATGGGATCCCTCTACATTATCTTTTTAACTGCCTACCAATATTATGGAAAAAATTCATCAAATTCCTATCCGCTTAAATGATAATAATAATAATAATAATAAAGATACCCCTATATGGAACATGAACACTAATAGTTATTTCATCCGCAAATTCCGCCTTACAATTATTAAACCTACCATAAAGCCTCAATATGACTTCATGTGGATATGGAAACTAAATTGCCCTAATAAAATCAAATACCTCCTTTGTCAATGTCTACACAACAGACTACCATGCATGAATTATCTTCAGCATATTAGGATAATTATATATAATAAATGCCCGATGTGCTACAATGAAGATGAGTCTATAGAGCACATCTTCATCAAATGTCCCCTAGTGCATCACTTATGGGATGAACTTGGTATCATTAACCCTACTTCAATAACTAAACCATCACTGGCTCATCCACAATAAAAACCAGACCCCAAAAATCCAATCCCCACACCTGGAATGGTCAGACCTCCTTCCCTTTTCTAATATGGGGAATTTGGATTAATCGCAATCACAACAACATAAAACCCTCCTTAAAGATGATTTCATGCAATTGAATTTCACTTCTTCATTACCAAAAGCTCTCATTCTCAGGCTACCAGAGTAATCCAAGTTAAATGACATGCTCCTCCAAAAGGTTGGATTAAGCTCAACATAGATGGGGCATGCAACAAAACATACGATGAAATAGGGGGAGTATTTAGAAATAATACGGGAAAGTGGATTCTAAATTTCCATAAATACTGTAGTGCATTATTTCCTCTACACATGGAATTACATGCACTCCTGGAAGGACTTCAGATGGCTTCAAAATTCAATCTTTACCCGTTAGAAGTGGAAACAGACTCAACTGAAGTAATCAACGCAATAAACAATGACATTCAGTTCTTACTAATCTAATTCTTTCCTGCAGGTCATTAATGCTCCAGGGGAAGAGCCTTCTACTACGCCATAATTTCAGGGAAGGGAATGCAGTAGCTGATGCACTAGCCAAGGAAGCAAAAAAAAAAATAGTAAATTTAACCCAAGAGGGACTAAGGTGCTCCCTGAACCGTTGATTTTTGTACAACAACTACTAACAAAGAATATGAGCGAGGATAGCTTATCTTCAAAAAAAAAGTACCTACCTTTCTATGTAATATGTTTAGATCATTAGGGAACCAAAACATTACAAGTGACACGAGTTGTTTGCAAGAGGGGATATCTAGCCTCAATATCATTATGACACGTAATATGTAAGATTTTATCTAGTAAGT